GTTCTTCCGAAACGTGGAGAATAGAGTGCCTCTTTAATGGTTAAGACTGTACTATTGGACAACATGATACGAGTCTTTCCGTATCCTTCAATTAGGTTGGATGGGCTTGAAAGAGTTGTCAGAGATGCTTTCTTAGGTATAAACTTAGTAAAATAGTGTCGCTCACGCAAGATGGTATGCGTGGTAACACTATTAGCCAGACAACTAACTTCTCCACTAGACATACCTAGAAATAAATTGATTGAATTGGTCACATACATAAATATAATTCCATTCATTCAATTAAGCAATTTGAGAAATAATATCCATCAAATAACAATCCATAATTCAAAAAAAACCAAAACCAAACAAATTATTCCAAAAACTTAGAAAATTGTTCAAAATTAAACCATAAACCTAGAATAATTGGGGGGGGGGGGGTCCGGCCACTCCTAGTGGGTTCGGCCATTAGGGGTAAAACACCCTAAAACATGTCTAAAATTCATTTGTCCATAGGAGCTGACGCCTCCTGAAAATCTAATATCTCCATAGATGTAGTAGCATCTTCCGGATGTTCCACATGTGTAAAGTTAGACTCACGATGGGAATGATACTTGGCAATAACCTCGAGGGTAGCTCGACATACATGTGACCAATGATCATTGATCCATAGTGGTAGCACATGTCCATTTCAGTGGAAGCCAATTGAATAGGAGCTTTGCCCTTGTTCTTGAAGTTTGGGGCCTTAGGGGTAAGGGTGGATGTTGTTGGGTCACATTTCCTCCCATGGCTGGGCCTTGATTCCATGGATAGTGGGCCCGTGGTGGAGCTTGTTGCCCATTACCGTGGCCATAACAATTCTTTCGTCGTTTGTGGCTGCTAGAATTGGTCTTGTGCGCTTCAAGTGCTATGTTCGAGCCAGTTGGTCAAGCTTAATGATTCTTCATCAAAAGTTGGTTTTGCTTTTCAGGGAGAAGTAGTACAGAGATCAAATCCAAAAATTTGGTGAATTTTTGTGCCCCTATATTATTGCTGTAGGACAATATTGGTAGCATGGAAGGTCGAATAGGTCTTCTCTAAGAGATCTAATTTGGTTAGTTCCATTTTATAGAACTTCAGTAGTGATCGGATTCTACAAACTTCAGAGTTGTATTCATTAACAGACTTAAAGTTTTGGAAGCGGCGAAGATGCTACCAGTCGTGTCTTGCTTTAGGCAAGTATATGTCTTTCTGGTGATCAAAACGATCAGCTAGAGCATGCCAGAGTGTGTGTGTGTGTCCTTCTCAGCAAGGTACACGATTTACAGAGCATCATGGATGTGTATTCGAATGAAGATCATTGCAGTAGCTTTCTGAGCTTCGTCAATAGGTTTGTCATCGATAGGTGCCTCGATGGTGGCTCTAATACCCTTTGCAGTAAGATGGAGCTTCACGTCTTAAACACACTTCAGGTAGTTTCTTCTAGAGACTTCTAAAGAGGTGAAATTGTGCTTATTCAAGTTCAACATGTCCCTAAAACGGAGGGTACAACAAAAATGTGATTAGTCATATGGTAATCCATAGACATATATCGTAGAACATTCGGGGTTCTATAGACATGTATTGGTTTAATTTATGCATGAAAAATACAGGTTTCATATGGTAAGTTTTGAATAAAAACTTCAGGTTTCAAAGACACTAAATATGAAACTACATGTTCAATTTAGTTTTATGAATGATTCGTTCATAGAAGAGAGGTTCCTGTAAGAAACATAGAATGCAATATGCTGATTTAAGTGTAGTGGATTTGAGTTTCTTTGGGAACTTAAGTGTGAGAGCTTCGTTACTACAAAAGTATGTCAACGATTCAAAGTATAAAAATAAATTATTGAATCGTTAATGTCCAAAAAGTGATCTTCAGGTCAATAATTTTGGATTCATTATCAGATTAATGGACTGCAGGTCACTTTTAATTAATTCAATAGATCGGGACTAAACAAGGTCAATCGTGGAAGCAAAATAATGCCAAAAATTAGCATTGGGTCGAAAAAGCATAGCCTAAAATGGGTTTAGGCTAGGGTGCCGAGAGTAGGGCAAAGCTCTAGGGGTAAATGGGCTCAGGTTTGGTTGCAAAAGCAGCCCATATGTGGCTACAGACCACGGGCCGAGACAGGTGAGCCCAGCAATTGCTGGCTTTTGGGCCGAATGGGGGGCACAGGTCATGCCAAGTGGAATGCTGGCCTTGGGTTGGCGTGGGAAGCCCAGCTAAGGCTGGGTCCTGGTCAGGGCATGCCAAGCCTAGCAGCAAAGGTTGTGGACGAGTAGGCTAGGGCTTCATGGCACAACCCAAAGGGCTAGGGACTTGCGGGATATTGGGCCAAAAAAACTGCAGGCTTTTGGTTAGGCTAAGGGACTTCAGGCCTATTAGTTTAATCAGGCTAAAGGCCTTGGGATGTTTGGGTCAGTGCAGCAAGCCAAAAAGCTGATGCCGTGTGGTCCATACAACTGGGCTTCAGGTCAGTGATGGTCCGTTGGTGCCACGATGGGGTTGCGGTAGTGGTGCCGCACAGTGCCCAATGCAAAAATTTTTCCTTTTTTTTTTGTCTACAGAATTAGGGTTAAAAAAAAACCCTGGAATTGCTTCTAATTTATTTATATGCTTTGAGTCACAATTCCACATAGCAATTTAATTGCATAATGCATGAAACACACACACACACATATATATATATATATTGACAATTATATGAAACATATACAATATATATATCGTAAGGAAATTATAAACATATAGGGATTCATGCATCATGGGGAATGTTTTCATGCTTCGTGGACATTTCAAATATCTTCATTTATTTTAAACGTACCTGATTAGCAGAAAACAAAGAAGAGCCTTTGAATTTTGTGGAAGATAGCCTCCTCCTACGATCCATCAATTCCTCAGTTTCTGGCAAGAGCGTGCTGATAACATGTTGTAAGCCTATTTAACTGAGCTATCTAAGGGATTAGAGAAAGAAGGGATCGGCGGTAGCAAGAGGGAGAAGAGAGAGATTTAATTGGGAGGTGTGTGTTGTATCACCCCCCTTCAATTGTGCCTTTATTTATAGTAGTAGGATAGGTAAAAACCTTACCCTTTTAGGATTACAACTCTTAATAGGTAATCAACTCCTAATAGGAATATAAGAGATATTCCTAGATCTACTAGGATTTACACAATCACATTCCTATTCTAAATATGACTGCAACAATAACCTCTTTAAAATTATAAAATTGGTTTATTCCCAACTTTATGACTTTTTAGAGCTTTTACTATACATTTTCTTTACCACACATATGTAAGTGGGAGGAGGATTCTCTCCCCTCTTAATCTCTCTTCCCTTTCCTCTCCTCCTACTTAAACGGTTACGTTTAAGCCACGTCAACATCTTATATTGATTTTTTTTTATAGAAACAATAAGACAAAAAACAATGTCACTTAGTACTACGGTATAGTGGTATTCCTCTTCACTTGTAAGTGAGAGGTTTTAAATTTGATTCTCGCCAAAGGAAAATTTGAACCACATTATTGTTACCCCATTGTGTGACTAAACTCACCTCCCTCCCCTTTAGTGTAAATAATATTGTTTGTTAAACAAAAAAAAAATCAAGAAGCACTATGTGAGAGGAGGGGAGGAAAGGGGATGAGAATAGGTGGGGAGGGAAGGGGATGGAAATAAGTGGAAGAGAATCCTACTCCATATAAGTGAACCACATAGCTAGTGTCGCTCACTAATATGCCAGTGTCAAAATGTGGTCCTCTAAAATCCATCAGGATCTTCTCCTGATCCTTTTGGTGAGGATCCCAGGGATCCGTGAATCGTGTCCGTTCATCGTATATCGTGCGGTCAGTTTTTGTCAAATACTGTTTATGTTTATTTTTAAATAAAAATATTTAAATGATTTCTGACTGCATGATGTATGAAAAACGGATACGATTCATAGATCCCCGGGATCCTCACAAAGAGGATCCGGACTCCTCTAAAATGATAATAGTTGCATTCCTTCCTTGGGAAAAGAGCTCATTCACCAATTTACAAATAACCTATTTTACTGTAGAATTTTCATAATCAAAACCACTCAATTTTTTAATCTTCATTTGAGATATTTTCTACAAAAAAATTCTAATTGGACATTATTTAGTCATTCAAATGTATCAAATAAATTAACAATGTAGGTAGGTACCAACATATTAATGATGAACCATCCATTTATTTGATGCAATTGGATGACTAAACGATCTCCGTTTCGAATGATTTTTTATAGGGATGACCTTTAAATGAAGAATAAAAATTGAAGGGTTCCGATTATGAAATTTCTACGGTAAAGATAAGCTATTTGAAAGTGGAGATATAAAACCACTCTCCTAAAGAGAAATGCAAATATTATTCGTCTAAAATTACCCAAAATTAAGTAGTCTCAAACCACTAAACCATTTTATCAAAACAAAGAAAATAACCATTGCATCATTTGAACAAGATATATATATATATATATATACACAGTTTTCTTTTTCTTTTTCGAGAGTAACAAAGTAACATAGATACATTAATACATACTTGTCTACTTTTGCATGTCAAACCTGCTCAAGTAAATGCACACGAGAGACATGACCATGAACCAAACAAGGTCCTATGTACGTGTCTAGTAACCTGGGCTGCTGAAGAAAGAAGGAACAAACCTGGCATCAAACATGGAAGCCAGAGAACACAAAACCGGACAAATTCAGTTCATACATGTCTCACTCCGTGATCGCCTGTGAGACCCCTCCAGGCTGTCACCAAACACCCACCAATCACATTTTAAACGACGGTGGACCAAGATACAAGCATGCCAGCTTTGGTGCCGGTTACAGCAATCAAAGACCTTTGCCAGTCCCAGACGAACCATACCCTCCGCCGAGGCCGCAATAAAACCAGCCGTTTCTTGGCGGACGTGAAATGACGTTTGTACCCTTGGAAATATGTGTGTCAAAGCATTTTCCTATAAAAGGGGTAGCAACACTCGAGAAATATATGGTTGTACTGGAAACTTGGGTTCTCACCTCACTGTGTTTATCTTTGTCGAATGATTTTTCCCTGTGGAAGGGAAAATGTACCAAATTAATATAATGCAAAGCGAGCCATTGATAAAGTAAGTCAATATTTTTCCTTTCTTAATTCTCAGATATCTGTTAAACTACGTAGTTTAATTGAATTAATTTGAAGTTGATTAGCCTGTTAGCCTTCACTAATCTAAATGCCATTTTCTTTTCGATCAAAAAAAAAAAAAGAAAGAATAATGTTATTTTCTTTGTGATTTTTGCACGCTCTTACATGTTCATACCAATCCTTTTTTGTTTTTCTATAAAAAAAGTTCGACTTCAAGAAGGAGATTAAAAGTAAGTAGCTTGGTGAATTCTGTTTAAACCCTTCAGTTTTCCTGAAAATTTGGAGTTTAATATAAATCAAAGAAGTTGTTTTACTTTTGAACAGTTTTATCTAGTTTTCAATTTTGAAGCCAAATTGCAGACTGGTGAGAAAAATTGCCTAATAGATTAATCTGTTCATGTTTTTCGTTCATGATAAGGATCAGGTTCGAGACTTGGGAGCAGCCTCTCCATAAATGGGGGTAAGGCTAGCCGACATTGACCTCTCCCAGACCCTGCGTAAAGCGGGAGCCTTATGCACTGGGTACGACCTTATAAGGATCAGGTACAGTCATCAGTTCCCCATTTGTTTTCTTTTTTATTTACTTTCCACTTAATTTTCCTAAATTATTGGCTTAATTTATGAAGTACATTTTATATAGAAATGATTGAAATTTTGATTGATACTATATTGTTAGCACGTGGATAGTAAATGACATGTTTTTGGTATGGGAATATTCATATTTATTTAATATTTTATACACTTCCATAATGCACTCAAGATGATATGATTTGGTTTCCTATATAGACTTCGGTTTTTTTCTTCCTATATTATTTGTTGCCGTAAAAGTTTGCTTTATGTTTTTCTTAATATAGGTATTTCCTAGTTTACATATTTATTCTAAGTTATTTTTCTTAATCTTCTTAATATAATTAGCAGGAAGAGAAAAATTCGAGCAGATAGAGATGAAAGCGGACCAAGTACCACCAAAAGGTATGAGCAAATTATTTTACTGACGATAAAAGTTTGTTCTTATCCAATTATTAGAGGGTCGGATTTGCTATTATAGCCACATTATTCTTATATCTCCTTGTTTAATTACTTTGCAGTTAATCACTGAGTCGGTAAAGTTAATTTCTACCCTACACAGCAGTCCAATTTTGACCGGATAAAACTAGCCACCGTGACTGCAAGCTATTTTGTAGGGCTAACAATTTCCTCGTTTTTTGGTATTGTTTTGTGGGCAGCTAGGTTGCCATTCCCCATGCACATCCAAAAGGAATTCCCGACCCACCTACATCTCCATCTAGGCCTTAAAACCCTAATTTTTCCAGAAGCAACTACAAACCCTGATCCCCACGTCATTCACAACCACAAGCCTTCACTACACTCACCATCTATATCAAGGACGTCGTCGCTTTCTTCTTCTGTGTTGATGGATAGTTCCTCGTCTTGGTCGTCATCTACAATGGACGATCTGATTGGGACGGAGAGCGGCGCCCCAATCATGTCGAATGAGGAACAGGAGAAATTAGGGCTTTTGAATAATCAAGATAAGAGGAAAGCTACTACCAAAAAGAGTGAAAGGATAATGATCAAAACGGAATATCCACCACCGATACCGTTACTTGCACAGACTGGGAATTTGCAAGGTCGCATGCCATGGGTTCTGACCAAGCATTATAACTACTCTGATGGAAGGCTTGTTCTTAAGGGAGAGAGAGTGAAGCATCACGAGTACTTCGAAGCTCTCCGCGAAAATGGACGTCTCATCTTAAACCTTGTACCTTTAGACAACAATGCCATAATATGTTGTGAACATCAGGAAACTATTCATGAAGAAGAAGACGTGGAAAAGGAAGACCTATTTGTTGATGAAGAAGATCATGGAGAGCAAATCGAAATCAAAAAGTGCTTCAAAGAAAGTGATTCTGAGGATGATGATGAGGATGAATGTGATCACAGCTACGTGGACGAGGCTCATTATCATGATCATGTACAAAAGAAAGCAATGGATATTGTAATGGGTTATAATTCGGTGCGTCGATCAACTTCCTTTTGCGATGCTCAGATTAATATCCATGAACACCAGCAGATTTACTTGGATCACCCTGCTTCTGCTCCTCTTCGTCCAATGACTACTGTCATGTAATGTAAGCATTGATCACTAAGTTTCATCATATGTCATATAAGGTGCCTGGAGTTAGTAGTATTAAATTAGTCACAGGGACAGGGAGCACAGTTCACATTAATGAAGATATGGTACCCTTAAGTGCTGGAAAACTTCTACTTTGTAGAAAGCTTTTTCCAAAAAGTAAAATTGTATTTTTCACTCCATCAAACTTTTGGTTTTCTTTATCAATATACATCAACTTTCATGTCATAATTGTTTTTACATGTGATATTTTATCTTGAATTAATTTAAACTGAAGAGAAGGAAATTTGAATATAAGTGCATAAAGAATATTGTACAATCATTCTAGCAAAAGTGGTTACGCCCACTTCTATCAATCCAGCCATAATTGTTGTTACATGAGGGAATTTAACCCCGAACCTTCATATTCCAACCCGATACCCCACCCATCCTCTTCATTAACATGAAAACGCACATATTATTCTTTTGTAAGCTTGACAACTTCGTGGAACCAAAAGAACCAGTGTCACTGTCATCTGTCATTAGTTGTACTAATTTTATCTGAGGAAAAAAAATAGGATAAATTACATTTTACCCCTTCGGGTTTGGGATCAATTTAAATTCCTTACAACATCTTTAAAACATTTCAATTTCATACATTTAGTTATCATTTTATTTCAATTTCATACATTTACTTATCATTTTATTTCAATTTCATACATCCGTTAGAAAATCTGTTAAGTAAACAGTTAAGTGATGACGTGACAAATATGGGATCCACATTTGTGCTGACATGGCTGCCACATTTATGCCATGTGACAAAAAAAAAATTATGCATTTAATATAGGGTAAATTACATAGTAGCCCCTCAAGTTTGAGGTCTATTACAACCCCATACAACATCTTTAAAACATTTCACTTTCATACCTCACGTACTATTTATTTCAAAATAATACATCCGTTACATTTTCCACCCATTGATCTGTTAAGTGCTGACGTGGCTGCCAAATGTGTGCCACGTGGCAAAAAAAATTAAAAAAAGAACCTGAATCTTCTAAATTTATTAAAAAAAAATTTAAAAAAAAAAAAAAAAACAACAACAACAACAACCTATCTTCATCTTCCCCGACCCCTCCTTCCTTGCAACCCACCCCTTTCTTCCCCCTCCTGTCTTCCCCAAACTCACCATGCACCCATCCTCCACCTCCTCCTTCGCACCCACTACCTGCAACCCAGAAAAGAAAAGAAAAGAAAAGAAAAAAACTCATCTCCCTTTCCCTGCAACCCAGATCCCATCTTCCCCAATGAGTGTGGATTTAAGGAATAGGGTGTGTAGAAGAGGGAAGAGGATACATGCGAGGGTGGGTACGGAGGATGGGTGCGGAGGGTAGGTGCGCTGGGTTTTTTTTTCTTTTCTTTCTGGGTTACAGGTTGGGCTCGAGTGGGGGGGAGCCGGGGGGAGGGAAAAGGGGAAAATGGGTGCGCAGAGGAGGTGGAGATGGGTGCAGAGGAGGAAGGGTTGGTGAGATCTGGACTTCGGCGGTAGGGGGATATGGGGTTTTGCACGGGGGGTGGTTTAGGGGGATCTGGGTTTTCTGGTTTTTTTTTTTTTTAATTTAGAAGATTCAGGTTTTTTTTTTTATTTAATTATTTTTTTTACCACGCGGCACACATTTGGTAGCCATGTGGTATAAATGTGGTAGCCACGTCAACACTTAACAGATCAATGGATAGAAAATGTAATAGATGTATTATTTTGAAATAAAATAGTACGTGAGGTATGAAAGTGAAATGTTTTAAAGATGTTGTATGAGATTGTAATAGACCTCAAACCTGAGGGGCTACTATGTAATTTACCCTAAAATATAATAATATTTACCCTATTAAAAAATTAAAAAAAAAAAAAAAAAAAAAAAAAAAAAACCAAGCATACCCAGAACCCCCCCCACCCCCTCCCGACCCACTTCTCCATCTCTTCCATCTTCACCTCTCATCCCTTCTCTCTCCCCAGACCCACTCCTCTCTCTTCACCCCTACCTCCCTTGTAACCCCTCCCCCCACCCCACCCCCACCTCCTTCACAACCCCCCCCCCACCCAAAACCTCAAATAGTCATAGATGTACACATGGTGGTCAGAGTACTAGTGCTCATAGCAAAAGTGCTCGGAGCAAAAGAGCTCGCCACACAGGCACCGGAATCCGGTTAACTCGACCTTTCTCCAGCATCCGAAGCACCAATTGACCACGCACTTATTCTACAATTCGCCCAACACCGTTGTCTTCTGGAAGGTCTCGGCTGGGGCCTCAAAGCTAAAGGTGGGTCGGGGGGTGTAGAAGGAGTAGTGGATATGGGGAGAGAGAAGGGATGGGAAGTGAAGAAGGAGGAGTTGGAGAAGTGGGTTGAGGGTGAAGGGGGGAGGTTCTCGGTTTATGGGTATGTTTGGTTTTGGGATTAATTTTTTTTTTTAATAGAGTAAATATTATTATATTTTAAATGCATAAAATTATTTTTTTTTGTCACGTGGCATAAATGTGGCAGCCACGTCAGCACATATGTGGACCCCATATTTGCTACATCATCACTTCATGGTTTAAGAGGTCGCACTTGGTGCGATGGCAAGTGCCTTCGCCCATGAGCGGTAGGTCTCGGGTTCGAGACTTGGGAGCAGCCTCTCCATAAATGGGGGTAAGGCTAGCCGACATTCACCTCTCCCAGACCCTGCGTAAAGCGGGAGCCTTGTGCACTGGGTACGACCTTTTATCACTTCATGGTTTACTTAATAGATTTTCTAACGGATGTATGAAATTGAAATGTTTTTAAAATGTTGTAAGAAATTGAAATTAACCCCAAATCTGAGGGGGTAAAATGTAATTTACCCAAAAAAAATAATTTAGGTGGTACAAGGGATATTAGAGGAGTAGGGGGAGATAGATAATACTCACAGAGGATCCAAGTTCAACCAACAAGAAAGATAACACTCACGAGTCATAATGACTAAACATTCCAAGTCAGAGAACTACAATAAGGCACCAAGAGGTGTACATGCAAAAAATAAAAAATAAAAATCATAACCTTGACAAAAGCCTCTTTTCAACCACAACTACGAAGGCTCACCTCTACAAAGCAAGAGAACGACCACCATTAAAAATCATCCTTTATTTATTTTATGTTTTTGTGCACCTATAATCATTCTATATTTGTTTGTAACTTGATAACTACCCAATATTAGGTTTTTATGCATCCAAGGGAGACTGGTATTACATAAACTTCCTTGTTTGAAGATGCTTTTAGAAGAGATTGAGTTCTTCTTATGCATAAACACCTATTTATAGAACATACAAACTATGAACTCTTGTGCAACACTCCTTTGTAACAAATAGTGCATAAACACCCATTTATCGGAATTGCGTTCATCCCATGCACAACCTGTTATAAATGGATGTTTATGCGCTACAGTAACTTTCTCATATGAGGCAGATGCTTAACTGGCCTTCTTGACTGTCAACAAGAAAGTAGCAGCAGTGATCACCTGAGAACTTTGATCTTATATGTTTTGAATGTCCTAAGGTTAGTGACGGATCCAAGAAAAGTTTTTCGAAAGGTCACATGTAAAAATTTACAAACATGTCTTAGATATATAATAACTTTAATAATTAAATCATAGTTGCATCATATATTATTTATAGAACAAACAACAATACAAATTACAATTGTCCACGACGCGTTTTCATAATTTAAAAACGCTGCATCATAGCTTCATTATTAATGGAAACAAAAAAAACATTGTTCTCAATATAAACCATCATACTATCACTCAACCGTTGATTTCCCATTTGGTTATGCAATGGACTTGTCACAATATTCATAGTAAAAAAAGACCCTCCACTGAAATAGTAGCAACCAGTAGAATTAAAGCCATCGTAATTAGCAAATACACATGATTGTATATACTCTATTCTTCCCTGTCTCCACCATTTTTTTTTTTTTTGCAAGACTACATGTTCCTTTCAATGGAGAAAATTCACTACTTGAAAGCATATCAAGAATATAATGCCCAAGTTGATATTTACAAAATAATAATGAAAACGACAACTCCTCTTTAAGGCATTTTATCAAGTAGTTCGAGAGCATGTATGGAGGACAACTCCAAGCTTCAAAAGGACAGCACTATAATAATCCATGGAGATTCACTGGAATTCAAAAGGCTAGCTTACACCCACTAAAGTTAGGGTGTTCCCCTTTCGTGCCTTCACTAAATCACGAATAGAATCACCTTCGCTTTGTTCCAGCTTCGAGCCTCCAAAGTCATATGCTAATATGGTAAGAACGATGATTTATACTTGTATTAGTTAAGTTTGCTTATATATTTATGATTAATTTGAGAGTTAGGGTTAGGGTTCATTTGGATCAAAATTAAAAGGATGTGGTTTTTCTTAAGTTTATCTTCGTTCTTGAACATCAAATTGCTGTTGATTGGTGTATATATTTTTTTATTGGTGTTGATGTTAGAGATGTGTAATTGCTCTATATTGGTGCTATATATTACATATTTGTTGATTGGTGTTGACATTGTAGATGTGTGATTGCTGGAGATGTTAAATATATTTGTTAATTGAATTATTGATGTTGTTGCTGCTTTTATTCTATGGTTGATATTAGTTAATGTTGATGTTAATAGTTGTTGCTGTTAATTGGTACTGTTAATGTTAATTGATTACTAAGGAATTTTAAAATGATGGAAATTGAAATGAAGGGATTTTATTTTTTAGAATTTGTGAATTTTCTTGTTGGTTAACCTAAAAGAACAATGGAATTGAATACGGCATTTGTTATTTTTAAACTTCAATCATAGAAATTGAGAAATGACACTTATTTACATGGAATTTAAACTTGGGAATTGGAGATCCCAAATTCCAAGTTTTTCCTTTATGCAGAAATTATAAATTTTTAAGTTTATGAATCCAAACAAGGGAATTGATGCATGTCAATTTATAAATTTTGGCTTTTACTCAAATTTCAAGTTTATTTCCCTCATCCAAGCATAGCATTAGCATTAATTTTTTTTGTTGTTGCTGACTTTTATTTATGTTTCAGTCAAGATTTGAAGAATCCAGCAAACATAGTTGCTCACTTTTCTACAAGTGACTCCCCTAAGAGGCTAGAGGATGAGGCCATACAAATTGACCTAGGAAATGAAGAAAATGTTTGAAGATGACCCAGAACATGATAGATAAGAATCTAAAAGTGAAGATGATGAACAAGTAAGTAACTCTTAGTAAAAAAAAAAACATAGTT